TTGACCCTTTGCATTGTTATTTCTCGCAAGGAATCTTGGGAACCGAAATGACATTGCTCGTAGGAAGATTGAAGCACAACAATTATCCATTGTCAAGTCTGGCAGCTGCAGTCTCCGACTGCTCCAAGTCGTTTACATCGCTGCATCCACCCAATGTAACAGCTTTGTCCGATCGATTCTTTTCAGAAGAGACATGGAAAGCGAACGCAAGCACGCAATTGGGCTTATGGCCTTTAATCCATTGGACCCTGCAAACCCGATTGCCTGGCCACATCAAAGAAGCCTTGAGCGCCGAGCTTTCTAGCTTCCACGCACTTTGCGAAGAATTGAAGCATATAAATATATGCAAGCATGCTGGCACAAGCCGTGGATTAGCGACTCTGCAATCCATACAAGAGAAGCACATGCTGGCCTTCGTTGCGGCCTACACCGAAGAATGTTGCAAGCCAAAGCATCATTTTCGTCTCCATGTGATCGAGGATTACTGGAAGCGCCGTCAACTCTTTGATTGCGTGGCGTTGGAAAGAAAGCATCGCTTAGCCAAGGCTGAGATCGAAGCCAGAGGCAACAACCTCTCAGCAGTTGATCGATGCATCACTGCGAGGCTCAATCTCATTCAACTAGAGGAGATGAAATCGTATCGCTTTGGCTTCCAGGTGGTATCTCCAGATATCTTGCAGCACGGTTGCTTTCCAGTCCGAGTTCTGACCCCGCTTTGCTTCGTCAAAGCAAGCATGCTACTCGTTCCAGTCAAATGGGTGCAGACCCAGAAGGGACCATGTGCGCTGGGTGATGTGTATTCGATGACGACACAAAAGACAGGCAATGTGATTTTATGGACCTCGTCTCACCAAAACCAATTAGTTGCATTGAATGCGCCTTGGTTCATTCCCACCTATTGGCGTCTGGAACCTAGCATCGTCATCACAATCACGTAAAGACAAAAAGACTCATTGTATCCGGTGCAAGCAGCCTCTGTTTTTTTTCTACTATCTTATCTTTCTGAAACCTTTACATGTTCTTTTCTCCGCAGCCATCTTTAGCTTACCATGCTGGCGCAAGTTGTTGGAGCTGTCTTAGAAGATCCAGGCGACCCATGTCTGCCCTGGTGGCGAGACATCTGTGCTTTGGCAAACGCCAGCCGTGCCTTGTTCAACGCCACGAGAATATCTCTGGCATATCGTGCTTGGCGAGGCTATGTCCTCAACAAAGAGCGCAGACGGCAGGAAAATGAAGCTGCTAGAGCGCGAGACCCCAGGCCATTCCTGGGTCTCCGTGAACAAGGCTTGGAAGACAGTTCGGATCCGGAACCGTAAGATACAGGAAAAGCTGCTGAAGATAGCTCAGCTATGATCCATCAAATCTGTGCAGAAAGGCGAAACGCAAAATTCGAAATTTCGAGCAAAAAAGGCGCCAAATAGCAAGGAAATGTGCTGAGTAAGACAAAAAAACAAGAAAAACTCAAAAAACGTGTTGAATATTAGAAACGCAACGAATAACAACCAAAAAAACTTAGTTTAGGTTATCTTAGGTTACCTTAGGTTATAAAAAACTGTTATCCATTGTTATCCGTGCTCTTTGGCTAACCTAAGATAACCTATTATAAGTTCTTCTAACCTTAACTAACCTAAGATAACAAAAAGCGCTCATCTTAGTGGTTCTGAACAGGAGTTGTCGGTAGCCGCTACTTCCCTTCATGAAACATAAATCGCAACAATATGTTTTTGACTGACAAGAGAATTATATAGGTATGCGATCCAGTGGGCCGCACTTTTGAATCAATAGACATGCTTATCACGCGTCAGTTCATTGCAAGAAATGCAAGAAGATATGCGGTCCATTGGACCGCAGTCATTTTGAAGGATTTAAATTAAGCATATCATATGATGTCATTGTGCGAAAGCATGAACCAAAAAGACCACAACATACCTGAATGCGTATGGATGTATATGGATGTGTAAGAATGTGTAAGTCAAAAAAAATCCACTTACACATGTGTAAACCCCAAAAAAGCCCACTTACACATGTGTAAACCCAAAAAAATCCACTTACACATGTGTAAACCCAAAAAAAATCCACTTACACATGTGTAAAAATGTGTAAACATGTGTTTTGTATTTTGTTTTTTGAAAAATATGATATGCTGAACCAAAACTGAACATGAAACGAATATAATCATCCATTTTAAACAGTTCCACTTCCACTAAAACATCATTCCGTCCCTAAAGGCGGTCCAATGGACCGCCAACATGTTGGAAAACATGTGCAGCTGCTTTTTGTGTTTCTTGATGTAGCCCCAAAAATACATAAATACCCTTGATGTACAGGTGGTCCAATGGACCGCCATAACCTCCAATTCTATTGAAAAGGCTTTATACACACCTCAGAGGGGCTGTGGCCTCATGATCTTTCCAAGAGCCCAAACGCTTTTTACTTCGTATCCATCCTGTTGTCCAAACGAGAAGAGGATAACATATCAACAAAAAGACTCAGCATCACAAAACTTTTCCCAATAGGCTTCTCATAGAGCCGCCTTCCGACAAAAATATCAAAAATAAAAAAATATGATTTTAATTCGTTTCCAACCCAAACCTTGTTTTTTTATATGTTTTTATTCCAACACAAAAAATAATAGCGTTTAGAATCCAAAAAAGTTAAGTTTCCTAAGTTACTTATAAGTTATTTAAGTTGTTTTTTGTTAACTCAAAAAAAGACTTTAAAAACTTACCATCTAGTTTATCTTTGGTAACTACTTACAACTACCGTAAAATAAGATAAAAACTTAGCTTACTTAGCTTAGATACACTAGGGTTGCAACTACCTTACAACTAGGTTACAAGTTACTTGCAAGTGCTGTAAACCAAAACCATCCACTAAGTTGGTCTATATCTAACCCAGCCACGTCCCAGATTTTGTACAGTTGTAAGGGTGCGTGCCAATAAGAAGCCATTGATGTGTGGCCTTGGGGTGCCTGTTGGCTGCAGGATGAAGCATGCCAAGGGAATGTTTAAGCGATGTGGCCTGGGGGCAGCGCTATTGCCTGCGCGGTTCGGCGTGCCGAGAAGCTTTTGCACAGTTTGTAGGGTTTTAAGGGTTTTAAGGGTAAGCGTTTAAGGGCTGGCAAACGGCAGGCTTGGACGCTAATTAAGGGTTTTGATCGTTTTAAGGATTTGAGGGTTTTTAAGGGTTTTAAGGGTTTTAAGCGTTTTAAGCGTTTTAAGGGTTTAAGGGCTGGCAAACGGCAGGCTTGGACGCCCATAGGAAGCCATTGATGTGTGGCCTTGGGGTGCCTGTTGGCTGCAGGATGAAGCATGCCAAGGGAATGTTTAAGCGATGTGGCCTTGGGGCAGCGCTATTTGCCAAGCTTTTGCACAGTTTGCAGGGTTTTAAGGGTTTTAAGGGTAAGCGTTTAAGGGCTGGCAAACGGCAGGCTTGGACGCCCATTAAGGGTTTTAAGGGATTTGAGGGTTTTTAAGGGTTTTAAGCGTTTAAGGGCTGGCAAACGGCAGGCTTGACGCCCATAAGAAGCCATTGATGTGTGGCCTTGGGGTGCCTGTTGGCTGCAGGATGAAGCATGCCAAGGGAATGTTTAAGCGATGTGGCCTTGGGGCAGCGCTATTGCCTGCGCGGTTCGGCGTGCCGAGAAGCTTTTGCACAGTTTGCAGGGTTTTAAGGGTTTTAAGGGCTGGCAAACGGCAGGCTTGGACGCCCATTAAGGGTTTTCAGGGTTTTAAGGGTTTTGAGGGTTTTTAAGAGTTTTAAGCGTTTTAAGCGTTTAAGGGCTGGCAAACGGCAGGCTTGGACGCCCATAAGAAGCCATTGATGTGTGGCCTTGGGGTGCCTTTTGGCTGCAGGATGAAGCATGCCAAGGGAATGTTTAAGCGATGTGGCCTTGGGGCAGCGCTATTGCCTGCGCGGTTCGGCGTGCCGAGAAGCTTTTGCACAGTTTGCAGGGTTTTAAGGGTTTTAAGCGTTTAAGGGCTGGCAAACGGCAGGCTTGGACGCCCATTAAGGGTTTTCAGGGTTTTAAGGGTTTTGAGGGTTTTTAAGGGTTTTAAGCGTTTTAAGGGTTTAAGGGCTGGCAAACGGCAGGCTTGACGCCCATAAGAAGCCATTGATGTGTGGCCTTGGGGTGCCTGTTGGCTGCAGGATGAAGCATGCCAAGGGAATGTTTAAGCGATGTGGCCTTGGGGCAGCGCTATTGCCTGCGCAACAAGTGCAACACCACACGCAGGTAGACCACCCCCGACAAGCTCCGCAACCATTGCCCAAATATGGGCGCCCATATGGGTACAGGACATGCCTGCTAAGTGCTGTCCAGCACCTTGCACATTTAAAGCCCGTGCAGAAGGCCTTGCACAGTTAAAGCCTGCGCAGGCGGCCTCGTGCGTTTGGTGCCCGCACGGAAGGCAAAGGACGGACCCCGCCGTCTTCATCGCTGTCGATGACTTGAACCTTTACTACGGGAATGCGGGAACGGCTGCTTTGGCCTTGAAATACAAAACCTTCCGCAGGAAAACTTTCTTGCCCAAAGCATGTAATTTTCATGTCCAAATGCCTGGAAGTCTTAACTGCAGGATGAAGCATGCCAGGACAATGCTTACGCGGGAAGCTAAGAAGGAGAAGTTCCACATCTGCGGTGGTCCCAGGCGCCGCCCCTGCCTTGGCCAAGGCCGGGGTCGGCGGATATATACACACACTTGTATATATGTCTATTGAGTATATGCTATATGGTTTATTTTCTGGTTGTGTACGAAACATATTCACATATAAATAATACAATCACATACGCATTACATGACATGTAATAACATTCATATATACATATATATATTATGATGTTTTATATAAGTATATTATAAGCATATTATAAGTATATTATAAGTATAAGTATATTATAAAAATATCTACAATTACATGTTTCATGTTTATATCATGGTTGTTATTCATATATATATATATAGCCAGCATCATCTTTGTTAGACCTTTGTTATGGCTAGGCTTCGGGCTCACCGGCTGCTTGTTTGCGAGATGTTGGAAGATGATGGGTCGCTGGGGATGCGCCTTGAAGCCTTGGTTGTGTAGTAATCTATATTCATATTTGGAAAACTATAGGGTTATATATATGGTATATGGTATATGGTATAGGGTATACAAACTATAGTGTTATATATTGTAACTATAGGGTTATTCATATATGATATATGGTATGTATATATATATGGTTATATTATATCATATATTACCGTATATACTAGTTTACTATCATTGAAAACCATAGCTATAAACATATATACCTTAGTTTAATGGTTATATGATATAGTTTACTATGTTTACTGGTTATATGGTGATTTGTTTAATTGGATGTATGTGTAATATGATATAGTTATATTTATATATATATATATATAACCAGTTGTGGATGCCATGCCTGGACGCTTGAGGATGCGCTGGCTCCTGGCAGTGTGAAGCATGCATGGCCAATACGATACCATGTACCCCCTGGTAATTTAACATAACTATGGCAAATTACCATTTTTAATGGGAAAACTCACTATTTCAATGGCCATTCTCCATAACTTTTTGTATGTTTACCAGAGGGTATGTATGAAAGGGAGTTCCTGCGTTCATTTCTACCCTGGACCAGCGAGCAACTTTCCCACTGCATACACCAGCACCGACTTTATGAGCGATTGTCAAGCAACAAGTTGTTTTTTGGTCAGGAATGGTCTAGATGGAATTATGATGTGTTATCTGGTTGGTGGTCTGGAACATCTTTTATTTTTCCATTCAGTTGGGAATGTCATCATCCCAACTGACGAACTCATATTTTTCAGAGGGGTAGGTATACCACCAACCAGTTATGATTGATTTTTAATGTTGATGGGTTGACAAACCAATTTGTGTTCAATGGCTCTGGATGCAGAAAGCAGAGTGGCTTGATTTTGATGTAAAATGTAAAGCTTGCAGTCAAGTCAGAAAAGCAGAGTTTTTCAGCGCACGAGCCCAATCAGCAGGTGAATCCGTATTTATTGGATACTGAGTAATTGAATAAATGTCAGCCCATGGAATTGGGTGGCTGGGGGATCACCAAAAGTATAGAAATTTGATGGGATTGCCATCGGTATGTTTAAGAATGTTGTTCCCCATTTTTCGGCCACAAATTCTGATCGGAAATATGGCCTCCCAGATCTTACTCCCCAAAGTCTTTGAGGAAATATGGTTCCTTATTTTGATATTCATGAATGTTCCAATTTTGTCTAATTTTCACAGTATCTGTTTGGCAAGATCACCGCATTGGTTGACCGGTAAACTTGCAGGAAACCCCAACAGTTGATGGGACACATTGGACACATGCTTAAACAAACCTGCAAATTGTCCTTGAAAAAACAGCAAGATGACAAGATTATGATCTTTTTGCCTGGCCCCAGGAAGGCTGTGAACCGGGTGTTGGAAGCAGCAGACGGGTCGCTTTTTTCTGCGTTCCCTGGCCCAAGGGCGCGGGGTGGGGAAAGGTTGGTGACTCTGTGGCTCGCTTGTACGAGATTTGTTGATTTTTGTTTGGCTCTGACATCAATATACCTAAAATATTGAAAGATAGATCTATATAAGTCTAGTCTCCGGTTCATCCAGCATTGGGGATATCCACCATTGAATTATAGTATCCACCATGACTTGTTGGAATGTGCACCATGATTTTCCCAAGTAACCTTTGCTTTGCGGAAAGCCCGGATCCTGGCTTTCCGACGGTCCAGGACTTGTAACCCCCAATCATTTCATGTTGTGATATGTTGGGTGAGTATGGTTCAAATCTCTATATATATATATACTGGCTAAACCTTGAGGGATGAGTCATTCATATAATTTTCGTACTTCAGTTGTTTGCTGCAAAGTGGAGGATATAAACCAACCAGCTAAATGTCATGTTTTTGTTGCAGGTCTATGTGCCATGTCAAACTTGGCTTGGCACTGTAAGTATTTGGAGATGGTCAGAACATGTTCATCAGGATTTCAGTAACCCATTATGCCAGGATTCCCACGCCATGGGATGGATGACCAGGGCCCAACTATATCATCCCACGTAACTTGACCATGGCACATATGAAATGGCGCCTATATTGGTATCATCAGTATCACCATGATCACCATTACCCTCGGGTAATTTAACATAGCCATTGAAAACGACCGTTTATAGTGGATTTTCCCATGAAAAATTGTGATTTCCATAGCTATGTTAGTTTACCAGAGGGTATCCATGATATCCCATGAAAAATCATATTAAATCGCTATTTTTATGGGTCAAATTTCCACCATTCTGGCGTTGAAAAAGCGACGCTTCTGAAATCAATGGGAATTTCATGATTTTTAATGACCCTAAAATAGAGGTACTGTAGCAGTTGAGGGGTTTCTTAGAATGGGAGATCCCCAAGTCACCCTGGGTTTCAATACTAATTCATGGTCATTCATGACCGGATGATTTGATATGATTTGGGGGTACCCCCACAAAACTGAAACATCCATCTAGTCCCTGGTTGGTGGTTTGGAACATGATTTTTTTCCATTGGGAATAATATGGAATAATCATCCCAACTGACGAACTCCATCATTTTTCAGAGGGGTAGGTATACCACCAACCAGATAGTTATATCCACCATAAACTATAGTTAAGCCGTGTTGAGAGGGGTAGGCTCAACCACCAACCAGGTCCCCTTAGACCTTCCCTGAACTGGCCTTACGTGTTTCGGCATTGACCACCAGCGGTCGAGTCGTAGGTCTTCTGATGGCACAGTGCTGAGATGGAAAGGCCTGGTTGGGCTGATTGGACTCCGATCCCGCCTGGGGCCTTGTAGGACAAAACATGTAGCTGTAGCTGTATAAGAACTGGGCATTCTTGTTATATATACCCTCTGGTAAATTAACATAGCTTGCCATTTATAGTTGATTTTCCCAATTAGAAATGGTGATTGTCCATAGTTATGTTAGTTTACGAGAGGGTGTATATATATATGTACATGTATGTTGACAATCTAACAGAAGAAAAGGACTGGGATCTGGGACTGCAAAATGGTCATCTAAACTGGTGTAAATTGGCACAACATCGAATTCAATGGCTTGGTGAATGGGAAACCCTGGTCTTTACCATCACTTTGCAGATTGGCAGGTTTTCATATACACACGGACGAACAGCAAAGCGTTTGGAAACCACCAGAATGAGGACACAAATTCACCAATGATCAGCTTCAGCTCGTGGAAGGCATGATTTACAATCCAATTAAATTCTTTATTTACCCATACATATATTTATGGATATATTGATATTGTATATCTATTTAGATATTGTTATGTATAATATATATATATATATATGTATAAAATTATCATGTTCATTGTTTTGTATTGTATGTTTTCTTTCTGGTGTTGCTGCCCCCCACTGCAAGACATTGGTACTTCTACCTCCGTCTCTATAGGTCTCAAAGAAGGCCAAGAGATCCAAGAGCCAGCGGCTGGGCTGAAATAGGCGGACATGGTGAGGGTTGGACAAAACAATCTATATAGACTACAATATTGAATCGTATTTAATGGGATTCCATTGGATTGTCATATTATATGTACGTGTACATATAATATGTATAAATGTATATTATATAGTATATACATTTTATGATAGATACATTATATTATATATATACATTATATTATATATACATTATTGTATATACATTTTATGATAGATACATTATATTATATATATACATTATATTATATATATTATATTATATATACATTATATATCTCATTATATTTTATTATATATATATGATATTATATATATATCATATAATACATAATCAATTTAACTATATGCGTGTATACAGGTATATTTACATATCAATCAATGGATTGATTATGTATATATCTATATGTATATGTATTGTTTTTTATGCAAGATGGTATTTGTATTCATACATCATACCATATATATATATACAATATATATATAATATTACATTTCATTTACCATCATTTATCCGGTAGCCCGTGCAAAAAAAAGAAACGTTGATAAGTTTATCGTTAGCTCAACGGAGGCTAGCACATATTATGTACACCCGTCCAATTGGAATCAATGACAATGGGCATAACATGATGATATCACCATGCAAGTACCCCGAACTAAAGTCCAAGTTGATGTCTTTATCCTATACCTGGATTATCATCATGGCCATTATGTATGTATATAATTGTATATATATAATATATTATATTATATTATATTATATGATGTTTATATTATATTATATTATATTATATTATATGATGTTTATATTATATTATATTATATTATATTATATTATATTATATTATGGCTGCAGTTGCAGAGGAAAAGCCTTGCGCGAAGCTACCAACCAGATTTTTCGATGGCCATGTAGTTCTCCTATCCCCAAGGAGATCTGGGGATCCTCACCTGCCTTTCGAACGCCGAACGCGGAACGCCTGCGGTGGATCTGGTCATTTCGAAATCGCCTTGTGCTCCTTGGGAGTTTTGGAGTTGGGGGTTACAAGAAACCCATGGCTGAGTCGCACAGAAACACGACCATCATCAGCACATTCCCAGCTAGATGATGGTTGATGGTGTATACTAGCCGCTATTTTTCCATTGAGAGTGGGAAATTTAGATGGTTGATGGAAAATACATGAAACGCTAGTGTTGATGGTTATTATACAGCCATTGTTCCCATTGTCCGCATTGTTTCTCGCACCGTTGATATCACCCTCTCCATGAGGCTTTTACTTCAGGCTGTCGCAAAAGTTGAAACCTACAGAGAGATTCCGAAAACGGAAACTGCCTGAAAAAACGGCCTTCAGGACACGAGATTCCTCTTTTTTTGTGTGTGTCTGAAAATGGGGTATACCTCTAAATGGCTGTTTTAATGGGGAAAATTGCTACAATCCCATGGATTTTGGGGTACACTATTTTCAGACAAAACCATATGTGTCCTCTTTTTTTACTTTAATCATCCATTTTGGGGTTTCCAAAGTCATGGGGGATCCCCAATAGCTCGCTGCTTGTTTTTTATCCATGGAAAATCCTATTGAAATTGGATGATTTTGAGGGTACCTAAATAAGGACACCCGAAAAATGTGTCTCCTCTCCAGAAGGCATCTTTTGTTGGAAAAAAAACCGTGCTCTCAGGTGCAGAAATTCGAAGGGCACATTCTGGCCGTCAGTGCGATGGACTTACTAGAGGCTGTCTAAAGATTCTTTTTTGGGTGGAACGATTCCCGGATGGGCTCCATTTTGGAATATGTTGGACCTGGTTGGTACTTGACCTGGTTGGTATTTGAGTGTGCGATTGGGATTATTACATGTTATTACTAGGTAAAATAACGGCATAACAATGGCAATAAAACCATATATGTTAGGACATAACCCCCGTAACGATCGTGAAAAGAGCACTTAAAGCTGGAACTGCACCCCCAAGTACACGCAATTGGTTGATATCCATGGTTTTGGAATCACATACCAACTGGGATGAAGGTCCAAGTTAGGGCCAGTGAAGATCCAGAGCTCACTTGCGCTCACTGACCACTAGATGATGGGCAAATAGCATGTTTCCACATTTAGGAATTGTCATACATCATACGTTGACCAGAAACAACAACAACAACAACAACAACAAGAACAAGAACAAAAACAACCACAACCACAACCACAACGACAACAACAACAACAACTTCCCAGCTGAAACTCTGCTTGATCATATAACCCGGATGCGAAATCAATCATGTATACGGTCGTTGATGCTCTTCATTTGTAATTTCCATTGCCAGCTGAGCTTTTTGGTGGACAACCCCCCAACCCGAAACCCTGATTGAACGTAGTGAATCTATTTATTTTGGGAAGCCAAATGGCCAAGTTTAAACTGCTTAGCCTCAATTTGCCACGTGGCCAGCTAAGTAATCCCCTAATCATGATATCATGGAGGTTTTTTTACGGGAAAATCATCTGCCCATGTGGGGATTTTCCATTCTTATGTTTGACTCAAGGGTATGGTCTGCCCATGTACAGGATTTCAAAGGCCAAATGTGTCTGCCCTTATGGCCCTGCCATGGTCTTCCTCTCAATGTGTCGTCATGTTTCAAATTCCAGGATTGTGAGTAACAGATCAGATGTATTGTTTCGTTCAATCCCAGATGTTTCATGGTTAGATCCTAGATATCCTAGTTTTGCTGGGTAAATGATTATAAATGTCCGTTGTTGCTTCATTTAAGACCATTTGCATCCCATGAATTGTCTTGTCTCAATCCCCAAGTTTTCATGGTTCAACCATGTCTAACCCCCCAAAAAACCTGCTAGCGCCAGCCTGTGACCTGTCGCTTAGGCAGGTCTCTTCACCGGTTCAAGGGACTGCTGTGTCATGTGGGTGCTCTCAACGGGCAAAGTCCACCGAAACATGAGTCTTTTCTCTGAAAATTGATGGGAAACTCCCTGAAAATGGTGAACATGTTGTGAGATATCCTATATAAAATTCTATTAAACAAATGCAGTTTCTCTTCATCTTGTGAGTTTGAAGGCCATGACTATCTATAAATGGGAACATCAACTAGACATATGTGATAGTTGAGATGAATTAACCATCAATGAAGAACAATTGAGATTTAAAATTGAGATTTCTCCGGAGGCAATCAATGAAGAGTGTATCTGGGTGTGTCTGGAAAGGGGTACCCTCTGGTAATTTAACGTAGCTATTGAAAATGGCCATTAATAGTGGATTTTCCCATTAAAAATGGTGATTTTCCATAGCTATGTTAGTTTACCAGAGGGTAATACCCATAAATGGCCACTTTAATAGGGAAAATGATGAGCATCCAATTGGGTTTGGGGTATTTTCAGACAACCCATGTGGCAATGCAGTTTCCGGAACCCATTTATACCTCCCCGGTTGTCTGAAAATGACACGGCCTTATGGATTACGATACTTGAGAATCTCGTGTGGTTTGTCATCGTTGTTTTTTTGATGGCTTTTTTTTAGGGGGTACTGGGGTACTGTATATTGGAAAAGCAATTTTCAGACACATCCTTGCGGAGTATGATTGCCATAAATATGGCGAAACCATGATATGATTGATGCTATGGTCATGATCATTTATTCATAATTGTTTACAGTTAGCAACTATCATTGTTCCATGGGCAAAGTTGGATTATATAGACTAAATCAGTAGTTAGAAGATGGTCACCAATCCATGTTCATTGGAATTTGACCATGGTGCATTCAGGTGCTGACTAAACCCCCTATTGGAGGGTGACCTACAAGCAACCTTACCCTCAAAGTCCCTGACGTGGGTGTGTCCCCAACAAAACACAGTTGGTCTATGCCACTTATGGGAGTTTAAGTCATTGATAGCTCATGTTCAGCATTTAAAGGTTTCAGCAAACACTAGAACGGTCGTCTCCAGGATGTGAAAAAGATACTGTTTCCATGCTCTCCTGCTATCACGAATCCAAGTTTGAGCTGGATCCAGAAGCGCCTGTTTCCATATGTTGTCGCCCATATTTACCCCCGTGTCGAGCTGTTCTACGAATGGGATCTCGCCAAAAGAAACGACATGTCTCATATTTTAGCCATAGTTACAAATCCCGTTAACTATAGTTGTGATTGCCATAAACCATACTAATTGGAGTTATAAATAGTTACACTGGTAAATTAACATAGACCCTGAAAATCACCAAAACAATTCGTGGAAGCTAATCTTTCCCTGGCACGGTCTATGTTAATTTGGAGGGTCAAAATGGAAGACCTAGGGGACCACAGATGTTAGTCTAGTTTAGTATTAACCATCCATAATTTTGGGGTACCTAATTTTGACCCATACCCATTTGAAGGGTAAAACTTAATTTTCCTATGGCCCCTGTACAAAGAACGCGTGGACAAGTGTCCCTGGGCCTCGGCCATTCTTTTTCAGATCGAAAATCCGTCTGAACATCCAGCATTTGTAGATGTCCAAACAAGAAACCCATGGGTTTTCCATTGATTTCCCATGGGATTTCCAATGATTAACAAAAAAATCCAATGATTTCCAATGATGTCCAAGAAACTCATGAGTTCCATAGTGACTCGTTGGTGGTTTGGAACATGTTTTATGTTCCCATAATATATTGGGAAGAATCATCCCAACTGACGAACTCCATCATTTTTTAGAGGGGTCGCTCAACCACCAACCACCAACCAGCAAAGTAACCAGCGTATGATAATCAATGGGATTAAACCACATTAAACCATACTAGCATATACTAACCATATATAGGGTAGGTTGGTCAACCACCAACCAGATTATTATTAACCATCATTAAATCATTAACCATCATCATTAATCATTAACCATTAATATTAACCATTATTAACAGTATATTAACCACAATGGATGGTTAATATTAACAGTATATTAACCATAGAAATAGTTGATTTACCCGTAAAAAATGGTGATTTTCAATAGTTATGTTAGATTAACCATAGAATACCATAGATTAACCATAGATTAACCATAGATCAACCATTATTAACAGTATATTAACCAGAATGGTAGGTGGCTCAACCACCAAGAAACCCATGGGATTTGCCGATTTCCCATCGATTCCCATCGAGTCCATCGAGGCTCTGGGACTTGGAAACGGCGCAGTCGCCCTGGCACAACTTGGGACCTGAAATTCATGGCTGGCCATTTGGCCTTGAAAGTGGTGATGATCACACAATACATATATAATTATACAATCATATATATATATATTGTATATATATATATATATTGTATATTTATGCATGATGCTACTAGTACATATACATATCATAATGTGTTCGTATACGCACTATATATATGTAATGTTATGCATATGGTTATCATCTCGGCGTGGGCTTCAATGAAATGTTTGGGAATTATGATGTTCGTCCGGAAATGATTGGGTTGGATGGGCACGGATCAGTAATGATGGTAGCGCTAATATGTGGGTTTCCTAAAGTGGGGGATCCCCAAGACCATGGGTTGCAATATGAAAATAGTCACTAGTCCAATTTTGGATGATTTGGGTGTAACACCATTTTAGGAAACCACCATATATATAATATTTTTTAATAGATCATATTGTGCAATCGACCGTTGAGAGTTTACAAGGATCCATTCTTGGGACTTTGAACTGGAATTCTTCGGGATATTCCTAAGGCGAGAAAGTCCTTTTCGGATGAGGGACAGGTTAGCCTCCGGCAATATACAACCTGGCAATTGGAAATTTTGATGGTTTATTGAAACATATATGAACTTCACTAATAAGTCTGTCCATTGCCACCTTTGCCTTTTATACCTGATGGTATCTCTGGCCCTTGTTGATGCAAACAGGGTTTTAGTTGAGCTTCACAAATAGAAGTCCAATGTCCCAAAATGTCCAAGAGCAGGGTCATTTGAGTGTTATGGAAATGCGGACATCAATTTTGAAGTCAATGGGAGCAGTACTGTAGAACAAACATGGCTAAGAAGTTCACTTGTACATGTGTCATCCTGTGTCCTTGTTGAATCTTTTTGGATGGCTCGATATTGTTCGTTCTTATTTCCACCAACACTCCATATGTGTATATATATATATATATGGGATGATACCCCGTGGTTGACCAATATCATTAGGATAGGTCGAAACCACCAACAGTTGTAGAGTTGTAGCTGTTCTAAAGTCTCTATATGCCCTCCCAGTAAAAGGTGTCAGATTGTTTTCACAGCGTCAGAGATGTTCAGATGCAAGAATGCAAGAAACGACTGTAGTAGTTTGCAAAGGATTTCTGCTACCATCTGGTAACTTAACATAGGTTTGGAAAATTCCCATAGAAACAGATGATTTATATATGATGATTTTCCTCATGACACTCTTGATTTTCCATAGCTATGTTGAATTACCAGAGTGTATATCTTACCTTTGACCAGCCGATCATCTTCATGGGCCAAAATCATGCTTCGGCGCAAGATTTCAAGGCTGTGTAGCCTCTAAAAACCGGAGGGAGATCAATATGAATCAAGATCACCCTCCCAGAACGGGAGAATCTGCCACCTTTGCAACCCCTTTATACTTCGAACATCTGGATCTCTCCCGGTTCTCTACATGTCGATTTCCCGATCTCAGTCTGGTCGCACATTGCTGGAATTTCCAGGTCATTCCAGTCGTCTTTTCACTCACTAGTGTCTTCAACAACAAAAATCCAGCCCCTGACATAAATTCATGGTGGGAACTACCCAACACTTCCCATGCAAAATGCCCAAATTTCAGTTCCCCAACTGGGAGAGTTTTCCGTTTATGCCATGCCATGGCGTCCATGGCGTCCATGGCCTTCGGAGCTCACAGCAGCGTGGAGCTGCTGGCGATGGTGGAGCAAGGCAAGCTGCGGGACGGCGCCTTTTTCAGATTTCTGGGGGTTCGAAGCTAAGGATTTGACAATGTTATGTGGCTAAAACAATGCCATAAACCACCCTTCTTTGGAAATGGTTTATACCACCAGTTTATGGTGATGACTGGAGGATGATTTATTTTTGTTTTACCAACATTAGCGGGAATGAAAGAATGGAGATTTGAGGAAACTTCAAAACTACAAAAACATCAGGGAAGAGTGGTTTTGAGCAAGAAAACCCCAAGGCCGAACAGACAAACATGTAGCAACAAATTTGGGGATGTAGCCAACATAATTGACTGGGAACCCTCTAAATCATACTCGTCCTGTCAATCAGATGGAGTTTCTTTTTGATTTGATGTTGGTTCCACGTCGGCTTTTACATGCTTTTACTCCCAATATAGACAGTTGCTGATTTGTACGCACAAATCTGGGACTTACCTTCCGTGAAGCAGATTCAGAAGCGTAGAGTCACCCCCTGGAAAAGTATTTTCTTGTATTGAAAACAAGGAAATTCTAGTTTCATGGTCGTTTTGCATGGAGCATGTATCACAAGATGCATGCATATGTAACTAACCATTGTATGCTAGCTCTGCCGGCTTGCGGTGACCTCTTGCTCCTATGGTTTTGTCACGCGCAAGCTGTTACAGGTTGCGAAGAGGTACGGTGCAACTTCTGCCCTTTGAAAGGCTGGGCTGAAAGAATTGGATTCATGTTGGATCATGTTAGATCCTCCTAGATCATCTTTGATCACGTTAGATTCGATCATTTTAGATCCTGTTGGATCATATCGTGGAGCATTTCATGCTAATCATGTTAGATCAACTGGAAATCATTCAACTGCCATCCCTCAAAAAACACAACTACCTGGCTACCCTGTTTGGCTAAAGGCTGATGAGCCCAGGTGACTAACATTTATGGATATGTATCGGCATTGGAACCACTACAAAAACACAAAAATCATTGGATTGGTTTAAGGGAAAATCTACAGGAAACCATGGTTTTTACCATCAAATATATGGGTTTCCTGTAAATTTTCCCATCATCCAATTCTATGAGTAAAGTTGGGATGAACCATGATGAAGCCACAAACTCCTGTAGTGTGATTGTTGTTCCTAGTTGCCCATTCGTGTTGCAACGAAACATATCTTTCACTCACTTCCGCAGTCATGTAGCACACCCTTTTTTCCCAGCGCAGTTCCAACAAGATGCCACCAGAACCAATCCACCAACAGATCCTGAAACAAGTCCTTCGTTTCAAGGCGTCAATAGCCAATTTCGCTTTGAGTTTTCCATCGGTCCTAGCATGTTTCTTGTATCGCATCGGTTGTTGTTTCACCTATACCATCGCTGTAAATTGTGCCAATGTTGGTTTTGATATGTGTTGATATTGTTTCCGTCGCTATTTGTAGTTGGCTTAAAATCGACATGCTTGCTGCCCAAAGCAGTTTTGAATTCGATGTCGTGGTCTTTTTGTGCAGGGTAGTATGAACGTATTTCATGTTGTCGATTCAATTACCATGTTTGTCACTTTAATATCGCATTTCAGTCACTATCCGATTATTTCATTGTTTTGGTCCCTATAGTGTTCCATATTTATCATACATCTATACCTATCTATATCTATCATATCTCTACATATAACAATATCATGTATATATATATAAGTGTATTTATAAATGATAGTGATAGTACGCATGTCCATATGTTGTTCATATATTTTCACATTGTTTTTCCATATGTTTCTTTTCCAGTGCTACACATTTCCACCAGGCAGCGAGTTGTCCGCACTGGGCCGGCGCCTGGCGGACGCGCCGTTTCGAACGCGGAGCCACACGGTTCGAACGTGGACGGGGGATTCGTGGATCATTTTAAGGTTTCAAGAAGGGATGAATGGGATTACCCTCTGGTTATGCCAAAATAGCTTTTGAATCTATTGAACATGGCCATAGAAATAGTTGATTTTCCCAGTAAAAATATTTAAACATGGTGATTTTTCATAGCTATGTAAACGTTTACCAGAGGGTAATATGTTGGTGAACCATATGGTGTTTGCTATGGTTTTCAGAGGGGAGAAAAAAGGGAGAACTCCGTGGTTTTTCCGGTGTTTTTTTCATCGGTGAATCACGCTAAATCTTGGAATTTACATGGTTTAATATGGTTTAAGAGGACAATAGTGGGTTGTTTATGATATGCTTTGATGGCTGTGGTTAAAATGGTTGTTTTATTGTTAATAATCCCATTAAGTATGGGATCAATGGAATTAATATGGTATATTAAATATATTTGGTAATCAAAACATGAATTTACACCATATTATATTAGTCCCATTGGGTAAATTAGTGTGATTGATATGTTTTCTCATTGTTTTGTTTAATGGATATGTTGTTACTTATTTTTGAATAGGTGGGTTGGGTAATATCTTCCCCCATAATGTCACAGACTCCCCATATATAGATCTTTAAGATCAATAGATCCAATGATTGGCCATGGTTTCTGAGTAGTAACGGGTAGTATTTATCGGGTGGAAGGGATTCCTATGTACCCTCTGGTAATCGTTTACATAGTTATGGGATGTTATGGGAAAGCACCATTTTATAGCTGGGGAAATCAACTATAAATAGGCCATGTTCAATAGCTATGTCAGTTTACTGGAGGGTATTGAATAAGATTCATCATGATTCATCCCAAACATGCCCAGTATGTTGGTAAATATTCCGTACATGGAGCATTAAGGGGAATCCCTTCCCCTTACTGAGCCATGCAAAATAGATACATCCAGAAACCATGTATTGTCGTTGACCAAGCAGTTTACTATTGCCTCATGTTCCGTGAATTGGATCAAAAGTCGATAGGAAGTAAAGATTGAATTCCTAGGTTTGGGATTGCACATGAGCTACAGCCAAAATTTAGTGTGATGGAGAGTAGTATTCGAGCGGTCTCTATTTTTTGGAAATTGAGCTCGGGCTTGGAAAACGATTTATATATATATAATACACTCTTCAAAAAACGATGATATGTTCTTATTATATACCAAAACCTGAAAAACGGTAATACACTCTTCAAAAAGCGATGACTTGGAGCTGTATACCAAATATTGACCGTGGCCCACATGCGTCCAGCGAACGGATCTTTGGATGACTATGTTGTTTTACCCATTCACATGGGTTTACAATAGGTTTACAGGATATCCTATCTTGGATCTTAATGGATTTTGATCAAGACAAAATAGGGATGTTCATTGGTTCATGGTGGGTTTCATGCAGTTGGAGGTAGAAATGCTCACTTGGACAAATCTATACTGAATGTGTCTTTTTTCCATACATGGGAATGGGTCAACATCAAGTATACCACAGTTCTGGCCATTTATTAGTTATAACTGGTTATAACTGGGATTATACATTCTATAAATGGGGTTATAAGTATCTATAACTGGTAAAGGGCCAGCCTGCATATTTGAGGGAATTGAGCATGCATTTAGCGGAAACTTTGGGGTTTGCCCTGGCATCAGGGTTTTGATCCATCCAGTTTTCGCCAAATTGGATCTTAACCAAACAGGGAGGTACTCACGGGGAATACGTTTCAGAGATCAGATGAACGATGAATGATGAATATATTGGATTTAGACATCTGGCCATTTCAGAACATATGGAAGCCGGAAATTGGAGGCAGTTTTCACAACCAATGTCTTGATATGTTTTGATATGTCTTGATGTGTGTTGATATGTCTTCATCTCTGATTTTGTAATTGACAACGGCTTTGTATTTGTGCATTACATAGGCTATATACATCTATATACCACAGACTGCTTTTTATGTGTATGAACGGTTTTCACAGTAAGGCCACGGGAGCGAAAGCGTGGATATAATAGGCAAACAAATGCCTGGAACATATGTATGTAGGTACTGTATGTAATGTAATGTATTGTATTGTAGTGTAATTTAATGTAATGTAATGTACTGTAATGTAATGTAATGTATGTATACCACGGGATATCTAGGTCTATGATATCTACATACCAGAAGATGATATGACAGCCAGGGGCTGGATCTGAATAGGTCCACTTATCAGTGGATATACAACTGTAGCTATCAGGGCTATATCATGCTATATATACCCTCTGGTAATGACTAACATAGCTATTGAACATCACCATTTTATAGCTGGGTAAAACAAGGTAACGCCGCCCGTAAAGACGCGGGCTGTTTTGCAATCAGGCATTTCTGATGTGCTTCAGGACATGTGGCACTTCTGGATGCCATTTCATGAATGTTCTTACTTCATCCTCTTATGTGCTTGGGTGTGCATCATGACACACACACAGATATATATATATATATGTGTGTGTGTGTTTTGTGAATTAGAACTATTTCATGTCTTTGTGCAGCCCTATGCATGTCTTAAAAAATGACATTAATTACCGCCGCCCTAGACGCCCACCGCCCATCACCCCAACCCCAGCGTATGTCACGTAACGCTTCCAAGGAACGTTAACATCACCCCACCC